GTGGCTCCTGGGGGGGGGCTGTAGGGGGCTGCTAGCCGGGTACGGTACCTCCTGCTGGCCTGTTGCCAGCTCCTGGTTCTGAACAGGGTTTGCTGGGTGAGCTAAGGGGAAGGGGGCGGGTGGTTCTTCGCAGCTGTCCCTCCTGGCACCCCCAACTCCAGGGTGTGTCAGCCCCTCGTGGCTCAGTGCTCTGGAGTCTGTTCTCCCCCCGGGTGGGCAGGGTCTGAACCCTCAGTGAGATCCTGAGCCCCGTCTGTCTCCACATTGGTCCCCAGGCTGCGGCCACCTCTCCGCCAGCTGGGAGCCCCTCTACGGCCCCAGCAAACCCAGCCCCGTGGCGGCCCAGTTCACCAGCGAGGGCAGCACCCTGTCGGGCGTGGAGGTGGAGCTGGCGGGCAGCGGGTACAGGATGTCGCTGGTGAAGAAGAGATTCGCCACAGGTAACCGCAGGAGCTGGGCACATCACTGGTGGTGGTGGGTGGGGTGGGGGGGACACTTCCACCTGATTGCACATGGAGAACTCCTCCCACTCCTGTCCATCACCGTGCCTCAGTTTCCCCTCTCATCCTTTGTTTAGATTGGAAGCTCTTTTTGGAGCCAGGGCCTGGCACGATGCGGCCTGATCTGGGGTGGGATTGGTAATAAGCCGTACTAACAAAGGGATCCCAGGGAGGGGAATATGATCAGAGCACAGGGGAGTGGAGGAGGCTGGGTAGGCGGGGGGCCTATACCGGGAGTCTCCAGTGTCTGTCTCCGCCTCTCATGGTTATGTTTCCTCCTAGGCATTTATCTGGCTGGCTCCTGATCGGCTGCGCTCGTCCCCCTTGTTCATTCCTGGTTTTAAAGCCCCAGCGGACGTTGGCTCATTCAGTCGTGTGCTGCCCCTGGGGGTTTCTCTGCTGTTGGATTTTTAAACACTGGAACAAAGTCAGATCTGGAGGGAGGGGAGTGGGGGTCCGGCCCCTGGCCCGTGACACTGGCCCCCACAGGTGGGAGGGGCAATGCTGCTGGGATCATGCTGGGCTGGGGGTTTGGCCCCTGGACGGGCCGAGCAGCTCAGAATTGCACTGGACAGAGAACAGCCCTGCTCCCCGTTAGCCTAACTCCTCCTGCACCGGCCCAGCTGGGGGCCCCCTGCTCATGGAACAGACCATTCCACTCTCCCAGCTGCTGTACGGGGGTGGGGGGAGGAGGGGAAGCTGGGGGGGGTCATCACCCTTTTAATAAACACTTTATTTTCTAATAAAACGACCCGTCTGCTTCCGCTGCCCCTTTTTCCATGCCCTGAAATCCTGCCACGCTCAAGGCGGAACCTGCTGCCAGCTTTCATGTAGCAAGAGGCGCGCCAAACTCTCTGCTAATTAATCGCCTGCCCGTTAGCTAGTCTGGCCCGGCCCCAGCTGTTTGTTCCAGGCTGAGTGGGGTATTTACTAGTGCACGCCGGGCCTGGAGGAAGTAAGGGGAATTGCTGCCCCCTTGGAAAGGGAGACTCCCAGCTTGTGCCAGAGAGCAGGGCTGGTTCTTGGATCCACCTACAGAGACTCCCCCTTGTTGATCTGGTCCCCCCGCCATGGCTGAAGCACGAGCTGTGGGAGTTATGGGGGGCCAAGTTGTCTGGTTACGGTGGGAGCTGGCTGGCTCCTTTGCTCCGCAGCTGCTGTTTTCCTCTCCTTACCCACCCCTCGCCGAGGTACCGCCGTGCTCGACCGCAGCACTTGTCAAACTGGGTCCGAAGTGCAGGGGTTCACGCCTCCCTCCTGCTCCCTCGCCCTGGCCCTGGCGCTGCCGGTCCTCTCCCAGGGACGGCTCAGGGCTCATGTTTGCAGCCGACCTGCAGGCTGTGCTCTGGGGTGGGCCCCGGCTGGAGCCCAGGGCAGTCCCAGGATCCAGGCCCTGCCGCTGGGATAGCCTGTCTGCTGCAGCCACGCTGAGTGTTGTGCTCGCCGCCCCCACGGGAGGGCGATAGCGAGGAGCCAGACCTGGCTTTGCGGGCCCTCGAGCCAGCCATGCGGCTTTGTCTACACGGGGACGTTAATGTGGAGTTGGGTGCGGGGAGTTCAAGCACACGAGTTGTTCCCAATTAACCTCAGGCGTAGACAAGGGCCAAGGCCTGGGGGCAATCAGAGGGGTGGGGAAGGGGACACAGGGCCTTTCCTGTCTCGGGGGTGCAGGCTGCACGCTGGGGGGTATCAGGGAATGGGGCCTGGGGGCCTGGGCCCTTTCATCTTCTCGAGGTCGCTCAGCCTCCAGCCTTGCTGTGGCCAAGGTGCTGTTCTGGGGCTGTCTGGGAGCCTGGTTAAACGAGGGGTTGGGGGGGGGGCGCTCTGCCCCACTGCGGCGTAGGCACAACCTGGCAGGCTCAGCCCCGAGAGCCAGGCCCAAAGGGGCCGTGGGACCGGAGCTCGGCCTGTCACCTCGCGGCCGCTAGGGAAGCCGGGCGTGGGGCCATCCTGCGCTGCTCCTTGCACCATGCTCCAAGGCTCTGCCAAGGCCTCTCTTCCCCCTGCGGCCCTGGGAGGGGGAGCTGGGCTGATCCCCTTCTTGCCCAGGGCTGTGTAATCTCCATCCTGGGGGGCTTGGCAGCGCAAGCCAGTCCTTGCCACCTGCCCTGCTCTGAATAGAGCACAGGCCGGAAGTGCAGGGTCTCTGGTCAGCCTACGTCTGGGGGGACCCCACCCACACACTGCCTGGCTCCAGCCATCTCTGCCTGCCCAGCCCCCCGGCTTGCTGTGCATTGCTGAGATGCTGCACCTAGCTCCCACCCCACATCAAACCTATGATCAGCCCTGCCCCTGTGCAAGAGACATGAGGGGCAGCCCCTTGGCTGCAGTGCTTGCAAGCAACCGCGCCCCCCCCCCCAGGAGCTCTGGGGTTAACTTCCTTGGGGTCTCCCACAAACTGGGATAGAATCAGTGTTTTTGTAGGTCATCCATCCTGCTGTTACCTGGGGCCTGTGGGGCAGGGTGGGAGGGCTAGAGGCGGCCGGCGGGAGAAGATGGGTCTGTCCCACAACACGTGCTGCATCCAGGATCCCAGGGTGGTGGCAGGGGAAACAGACAGTGCCAGACCCTCCACCCCCACCCCAGCTTCGAGGTCTGTGAATGCCAGGCAACCTAAGAGCCAAACGCTGGTATGCCCATCACAGGGGCGTTAGGCCATGGCCTGGCTGGGCAAAGCCACTCAGAGGCAAGAGGGAGAATTCCCAGCTGGGCTTGGTCCAGGAGCAGTTGAGGAATAAGGGGATGGGCTCCAGGACAACTGGGGGGGCAGGCAGGGAGGGGGTGGAGAAAAGGGAGTTTTGGAGGGAGGGAGAGTCGGGACCAAACGCTCTGGACGGCTCCTGGCCGAGCCCTCAGAGCTCCTGCTAAGCTGGGCTTTTGGTGCACTGCAGCCGTCCCACATGCCCAAGGGAGCAGGGACAGAGCAGGGAACTCAAACCGGCTCTCGCAGGTCCCAGGGCAGTGCCCGAACCGAACCATTGCACCCTCCTCCTCCTCCTCCTCTGCATCCAACTGGGCCGAGTGCTGCCAGGGGCCTCCGGCAGCCGCGGACGGGTTAAAGGTCCTGCCCCTCTCCTGGCTGTCTGTACTGAGCCCGCCAGCGCCCTCTGTGCTGTGCGCGGCTGGGGCACAAGCCCGGAACGACTGCGGGTGCCATGGCAGCCTCACTGGCACCTTCTCTGCCCACCCCAACGAGCTGCCGGCCCTGGGCATTGACCTGGGTTACTAACATTTGCACAGCACCTAGCACAATGATGGAGCCGCTGGGGCTCCTGGGTTCAATTTCCAGCTCTGCCACCCACCTGCTGAGCCTCTGCAGGCAAAACCCTGCCCCTTGCTGCCTCAGTTTCCCCATTCCATAGACTGGGGGCAGGGCCCTACCTCCTAACTCTGCTGGGGAGGGGGTTGAAGGGCAGGGCCTGGTTACTCTTCCAGCAGCCCAGGAGCCCACTGCAGACAAAGCTGCCACCCCCACCCTAGGCTGGGATGCGGCAAAGGGCTCTGGGCACAGACTCTAGATCATTTCCTGAGTTACTGAAAACACCCTTCCGGCTGCTGCTGAGTCGAGGCGGCTGGAGGTGCAGGTAGGCGTGCCAAGCCAGGGGAGTGGGGGAACGGGTGCATGTGTGTGTCCATGTCCCCCTACAGGGGAGCTAGGGGCAGGGCCTGATCCCCCAGCTTCCCCCAATTTGCCTGTCCTGCCTTGGCATTTACAGAAAATTCTGTGGGAGGAGGTGAAGGGGACCAGTGAGGGGTCCAGCATTAGGCAGCTCAAGGGGGCTTTCCAGCTGGGTTTCCAGCCTCAGCTGCTCCCCCCCCCAAAGAATCAAAGCAGCAACCTTCAGTTGTTGTAAAAGGAAATGCCTGAGGCTAAGCCCTGCCCTTCCCGGCTGGGGATCTCCAAGCGTTCCTGCCCCCGGGAGGCCGGGCCTGTTATCCGCTCCCGGCCATCGCCAATCACCTTCCCATGCAGCTGGGAAAGCAGCGAGAGCACAAGGGTGTGGAAACAAACTCCCCAGGCAAAGGGGTGGTTTCTTCCACTGGGGGCAGGTGCTGAAGAGCCAGTGACACACCGGGGAGGGGCTATGGGGGTGGGGCAACCCCAGCCCTCCTGCTGAATGGCTCCTCTGGGGGTTAATTTGTGCGGGGAGGGGAAGACTCACAAAGCCTCTTTCCTATCAGTTGGCAACAAAATAGCAAGCAGACCCCACTGCTATAGCCTAAGAGTAGTTGTTTCTGTGTGGCTGTCAAGGATAAAAGTCATACTACTCCTGCCAGCTGGTGGAGAGGCTCCTCTTGGCCCTGCGGTAGCGTTCCCTGCTTTTTGCTCTGGTGCTGCGGGTTTCTGTGCCAGCTGGCTGCGGCCTTCGCCTGTCTGCAAGGTATGTTACAGCCTCGCCGGGGCCAGGTACCTGCTGAGTTCGGAGAGCAGGCTCAAGCCTGTTTTTGCAACCTCTTTGTCCTGATCACCTGGGCTGTTCCTGCCCTTGGCAGCGTCGGCTTGCTCTAAAGCTATGGCATTTGCCTACGTGTTTCCTCGCAAAATGCCAGATTCTTCTAATGTAGAGGTATTACCCCAGCACCTAGAGGCCCCAGAAGGGAGCAGGGTGGGGCCAGGCACTGCACAAATACATGCTGAGTCCCTGCTCCAAAGAGCTTACAATCTAAGGAGGCCAGCCAGACAAAGGGGGGAGGGGAAACTGAGGCATTGCAAGGGGAAGTGGTCACGAAGCAGGAAGAAAGCCCAGCTCGGAGCGCTAGCTCGGGGCCCTGCCTGCTGCCTCACAGGGCAGAACTTCCCGTTTGACCCCACTTTGCTCTGAGGCCCCAGGGTTAGCTCCGAGCAGCCCCCTTGAGCAGGGATCTGCCCGGTGGCACGCACGCCTGAGGCACGCCTTGGTGGCACTTTGCCAGCGGCTTCTGACCCAGCCCCTTCCCGGGGAGCTGGCTGGAGCAGCCGCTGCACAGCTGCCAGCTGAACTCCTCCTGAGTGGGAGGGGGCAAACACCCTGCTTGCCTCGTTAGCCTGCAGTGGCCAGGTCCCAGTCACCTGCTGGAGGCAGCCGGCAGGTGAGAGGGGCTGCTCCACGGCGTTGGAATCCGCACCCCGCAGTGAGTAGCTACCCTGTTGTAGGGGGAGATGGGGGGGCTGCGCTTTGCTCTGTGTCTCTGGGGGGGCCTTGCAGAAGCAGAGTGGGCTATGCAGGGGGGGCAGAATTGGAGGGACTAGGAGGGTTTCCTTGCTATTGTTCCAGTCAGCTGCCCTCTTCCCTTTCCAGATCAACTCCCTTTTTCCTGGCTTCAAACTCCAGGCAGTAACAGGCCACTGGGTTTTCCTGCCTGAGCTGGGGAGGTTTCTTCCTTTGTATGCAACAAATGCCGGAGCTCCTGTTTCTCATGACAGGTTTCAGGGTAGCAGCTGTGTTAGTCTGTATTCGCAAAAAGAAAAGGAGGACTTGTGGCACCTTAGAGACTAACCAATTTATTTGAGCATGAGCTTTCGTGAGCTACAGCTCACTTCATCGGACGCATTCAGTGGAAATTCCACTCAATGCATCCGATGAAGTGAGCTGTAGCTCACGAAAGCTCATGCTCAAATAAACTGGTTAGTCTCTAAGGTGCCACAAGTCCTCCTGTTCTTGTTTCTCATGAATGGCTAAAAGGGAGCTGGGATGGGGGAGCGTCTTGGGGCAGAAGGGACCCAGGCTGTGCCAGCCCCAAAGAGGCCCGAGATATAGCCGTGTCCCCTCCAGGCGATCTATGGACTCGGTGGGGGTGGAGGAGATCCTCTCCCTTCTCCTGGGAATGAGCTTGTGTTGGTGGCGGGAGAGACCTGGCCTGGGATGGCACCAGAGATCGTGCCGAGCAGGGCACTGTGCCCGCCGGGAAGGATCCCCAGAGTCTGGCTGCTAAGGGGCCCGAATGGTAGCTTTGAAAATCCCATCTGGATAGTGAGTGCCGCAGTGTTTTCGAAACCTGGCCCCATCTGCCAGGCCTTGTCGGAGAAGATCTGAATGATCAGGCCCTGGCAGCAGGATGCTGCCCTCTTCTCTCCTGTCCCCGCCAGCACTAGCGGCTTCCCCACGCAGCTGCTCCCAGTCCAAGGGAGCTGAGATCAGGCTGCAAGGGAGGCAGGATGGTGCAGTGGTTAGTGCAGTGGGCGGGGGAGCCCTGGATTCAAGTCTGATCTGCTCCAGACTGCCTGGGTGATCTCAGCCACGCTGCGCTGCGGTTCCCCCTCTGTAATGGGCGCTGGGAGGAGAAAGACACCACAGACTGCAAGGCGAGCGGGTACCTTAGAGGCAGGTAGTATATTCTAATATAATGCCTAATTCCCCCTCCCTTCGGTCTACTCATGGCTGCGTCCCTGCCCTGCCTCCTTGCTGAGGGGAACGCGTACCCTGATTGGCTGGGAGGGTGGAATAAAACCAGCCAAAGGTACAGAAAGTCTCCTCGGGGCTACAGATTTTCGACCCTTGACAAATGGCTCCACGCTTGCTGTTTTCGATGAAGAGCCATCACAGCCCAGTCCCAGAGGGTTCCTCCTTCCTTCAGCTAGGGGAGAGCTCACAGATGCACAAAGCCAGCAATGGGCCTGAGGAAGAAACTCCCCGACCTCGTCCACACCCCGTATCTACCTGTTCCATGGGGCCAGGTCAGACTCGGTGGAGCTCGACTGAGTGTGGCCGGCTGGGGATCCGTCCCTTGGTTCCCCGGGTCCGAACTCCCCAGCGCTGGCATCTCCCCTCCTGGCCCCGGTGCATGTTTCCTGCGGTGGCATTAGCTCCTTGCTGCAGCCCTGGCCCTGGCCCTGGCCCTGCCTCGGGTGCTTCCTGAACTCCCAGCTGGTTTCTGAGATGATGCCAGCTGCCGTTTCTGTTTCGTCTCTGCTCCCTCGAGGCTCCTCATGCACCTGAAGTGAAGTGTAATCTTCCCTGACCAGGAGGGTGCCGGTCCCATGCCGCTCACGTGTGTCTCTGGGTGATAGCTTCTGCCTCCCCCGGCCCCCGGCCGTTGCTCTTCTATCTTTTTTACTTTGTCTCCCCCGTCCCCAATGTCACACAATTCCCCCCGCGCAGGAGCCCCTTCCCCGGCCTTTCGGGAGGGTGAGGTGTGCTCTGAGCCCTGGGCCGGGAGCTAGCAGCCGACATGGGCTTTGGACAAGTAGCTCAGGCCTGCTCCAGAGCATGGTGCAAGGTGCAGTGTAGACCGGCCCCAGGAGCGGGGCTAGAGCCTTGGACAGTCTGGGAGACAGGAGAGGAGGACGTCCCATTGATCCCAAGGCTGGGTATTAAAGGGTTAAAGAGCTAAGGGCTTTAAGGGACCCAGTGGGGCAGGACCCAGCTGACCTGTCCCAGCCTCTCAGGCGGGGGCAGCCCCCGGGGTGGATCCTGACCTTGTTCTGGGGGCTCAGCCAGGGAAGCAGGAGCGACTTCTAGGCAGACCTACCCTGTTGGACACCCAGGAATTAGCCGCACCAGTGACTGGGATAAGCAGGAGGCTGGCAGACTCCCAGCTGTCCTCGATGCCAGGCCCACATCCTGGGACCTGGGCCTGGCGTTAACAGGCTGGCGCGGCACCAGCCCCAATTCGGTGGCTGCAAAACCACCTGCTGGGATGATGATCTGACAGCCTTTGGCTTCCACGCCAGGGCAGCTCAGCTTGGTGCTGCTGCAGAGCTGGCTGCCCGGGGCCCGGGCTGGGGGCATCGTGGGGCAATTCCTGTCCTTTGTGCTGCCAGGGGGTGCAGGGCAGATTCTCCATGTGCTAGGGAGCTAAGCTGAATAGTTGGGTTCAGGGTGGGGGCTCTCTTAGGTCCAGTGTTGCCTTGCCGGGGGGTGACGACTTCCGTGCCGACCAGGCCTTGGGTTGGAGGGAGGGGGAATTCCCGTGCCCCATGAGGCCCTGGAGTCAGCAGAGGGGTGTCTGCTGAGCCGGCTGCTCCCAGACGCTGGGCGGGGCGGGGTAAGGGCGGGGACAGGAGCCCTCACAGGAAGGTGCTGTCTCCCTTCTGCAGCGTCCAGGTGTAACCAGGCTGTTGGCTGACATTTAAAATGCAGGATTAACTCCCCCACAGCCCCATTCTGCAAAGGGCGGGGCTGTCCCCTGGCTAAGGCCTCCTCGGCGCTTCCTCGGTGCGGTCTGGGTTGGATGCAGGGCTCTGTTTCGCTCCGGAGCGGTGGCGCCGTGACCCACCCAAGAGGTGGCTGCATCGTGTGCCGGGCGAGCCCTCTGCCTGGTGGGGCTCTAGCTGTCAAACGAGCACGTTCCTTGCTCGGCTGGTTCTGGTGATCTAAGTGAACCGGCTGCTTTGCATCTTGCCGCTCCAGTGGGTGCGGAGGCTGCTGAGAGGAGGGAGTGCAGCAGTGCCAAGGCGCTGGGCTGCAAAGCAGCCCAGCCCCTGGGCGAGGGGAGATTTGGGGGATGGGTGTTTCCTTGCTTCCACCCTCTTCAAAGTCTCCCTCGATCTTGCCGCTTCTGCTGCCTGACCCCTCACGCCAGGCTTCTCTGCCTCGCTGCTGGCTTCCATCTGCCCGGGGGTCCCTGAGGCTGAGCCATCCCCGACCAGAGCTTCTGGCATGAGTTGTCCCAGGAATTGGAGGGGAGGGGCTTTGTGGCTCATGCTGGGGACGGGGGCGGGGGGATGCTAGCCATGAGCTGGGACCAGCTAGGCTGGTGCAAACGGGCGCCAGGCCCAGCTGGGGGACCCTCTCCACCAGGAGCAGAGTCTGTGCTGCCAGGTCCGGCGTGGGTTTTGGGGTGGGCAGTGCAGGCCTGCACCTGGCAAGTCTTCGCCCCTGCAAAGCCCCCTGGGGGCCAATGATGCAGGGATGCAACCTAGGAGCGTTCTCAGGGCTGCTCTGGTTGGCGTGCGCCAGGGCAGGGCGCTCCTTGCAGCCCAGACCGGGGTGGTGCAAGTTGCTTAGGGCCCGATCCTGCACAGGGGCTGAGGTTCTGCCAGGGATGTGCACTCCTGTGGGGGCACGTGGCAGCTGGCAAGGGGCATGTGACGCCTGGCAAGAGGCACTTGGCACTCCTTGGCCTCAGGAAGGTCCCTTGTGAAGTAACAGCCAGGCTCTGCCTGTCACGGGGCCAGCTTGCTGAAGGAAAGTTTAGCTGGAGCTAAGCAAACACCCTGGGAGATGCTTGCTTGGGGCTCGGCTGATTGGACAGGTGCGTGGCGTGCCTCTGGAGAATAAATACACCGAGCAGGGCTCCAGATGCTGCCAGCGAGTCGTGGAGACTCGAGTGGCGCAGGGGGATTTGCCAGGCTGGCATCACCATAGCTACGTGGGGGAGGTGGCCCCTTTCCGCTGCTTGGCGCGCCCCCAAAGTGACTGAAGCAGCTGGTGCCGTCTCTCCTGTGTTGAGATGCTGCTCTCGATGGCTGGGTGACTCCGCCCGTCTGAGTTGGCACCCTTGGAGCCGGCACGCGTCGTTACCCCCCTGTGAGGAACGTGGTTTAATATGGTGAGCGGGTCGGGGTGTGGCGAGGTGAAGGTAAGGCCCTAGGGATGCTGCAGCCCGAGGGCTCTCCCGCCGCTCGGCTCCCGTGCCATTGGCCTCTCCCCGTGCCATTGGCCTCTCCCCGTGCCACGGCCCTGCTCCGCACTTTGAGTGACAGTGATAGGGGGAGGGGGCGTCAATGTCCCTCTCCTTCCAGGATTAGCTGTGTGTGTGTGGGGGGGGGGGGATCGCAGGAAGCAGTTGGTTTTGGAGTTAATAGTTCTTTGAGATGTATGGGGCAGTCGTCCCCCCCCCCCCGGCCACGAGGAGCAATTGTTTCCGGCTCTCGGCGGATTCAGGCAGCCATCACTGTGTCGGTTACGCTCAGGGCGGCTGCCCCTGCTCTCGGAGTGATTGTCTGGGACCCTCTGCGAGCTTGCTCCACAGGTTGTGTTTGGAGCTTCTATGGGAACCATGTGGGCCAGAAATGTTTTCTGTTTTTGGACGCTGAGAATCTGGTGTCATCCTGTGGCTCCAAGAGTTGGGGCCCTATGCCCAGCTTAGAGCACCCATGAACCCCCTGTCGCGGAGTGTGGGGGAGTCCAGGCCCTGCACCCCTCTTCCTGGGATCCACTGAGACTCTCAGCCAGCCAGTAAAACAGAAG